CGTCAATAAGTTCGTATACCGGTCATACCTAGAAAGTAAGAATGCAAACTGTCTCAAATGAAGAATATTTATATATGTTAAACATAAGATTGCAAACCATTGTACATTTGTATACATGTACCCAAGATGGAGAGACATTAACAGTACATATACACAAGATTGATAGATTGCATTTCTATCCACATATATGAAATTTAAAATGTGGGATATTTATTTAGTAAATATAGGATAGTTCCTTTAGATATCAGTATAATAACGATACAACAAAAGATGACCTCACAAACATGAAAATGTTTAAAGAATACTTGTATTAAGTATTCTTTTAGTCACACAGGTATAAATATGAGCTTGCATTTTATCAGATTTTTCTGAGAAAGAAACTTTCTTAATACAGGCCTTGAAAACATCTATGAAATGGTTTCCCGAGGAAAAACAGAGTTGAGGCTGGATCTGACGGCAGCTGACGGAACATCTGTTTACGAAACATTTCAGAATTTTAAACTCGGTGAAATGCCATATTATACTCTTCATATCGACACGGGTGTGGGAACTGCAGGTATTCATTGTCATCGTCGTTGTTAAATTTAAATGGTTGTTTACGGTATATACAAAGATAGTTCAAGCTGTATAATAACATAGCCATTTATAACATCATTAACATTAACAAGAAATTAATAATGTCAAGATTAGCAAAATGTGGTAATCTGACTTACATTTTTGTTTTGTTTTCAAAAACAGGCGATGGCTTTGGTTTATCATATCACAATGGTAGAAAATTTTCAACTTTCGACATGGATCGTGATGGAGTCGGTATAAATTGCGCAATAGAAGACCATGGTGGATGGTGGTATAACTTTTGTGCACACGCAAATCTAAACGGTGAATATGTTACTCCTGGATCGATTAGACCTGGCAGGTCCGAAGGTGGGATGACATACAGTGCATTCAAAGGCACAGAATCGCTTAAAGTCTCCAAAATGATGTTCCGGCGGATATAAATGAATCCTGGTCTGATTAAGTAAGAAAAAAGACATTAATGTTATATAAACTTGTGATTGTAAATGATATTTAAAAGATGACTTGAAGGCAATAATTTTAAACATGTCTCTGAAAATACTAACACAAAATTAGCGAATAACTTGACATGCAAAAAACAGAATAAACATAACAAACCGAAAATAAAACAGGAAGCTACCATAAAGATATATTAACTTGTTGTTAAACTTTTTAAATTTTATTGAAATAAAAAGCGTTTGGATATTGGTGTACTATATATTGATATATGTTTTCTTTATTTCAGTCTCATTTTTACATGTATACATAAAATTACATATTAAACATAAAATACATAAAAAGCCATTCTTAAAGAATTACAAGAGACTATTTATTTTTGCCTTTAAAGGACACAACTCCACATACCATATCATAACAGTTTACTGTTTTATGCACTGAAAAATTGTCCAAATTTCATATAATTATTATCATTCATTAAAAGGTTATATTGTTTTTTAAAAACATGACCTCAATATATCCAAACTACAGAAGTTTACATTGTGGTACATTAAATAAAAAGATACTAAAATGTTTAAATGCAAATGGTAAGAAGATGGTATTGATGTTATGGTGTCATTGTCACTCATTTCACTTATACTCTAATTCTTAAAAAAAAACAACAAAAAAGAACAACAAAAAACAATTGTTATAACAATCTACTGCTCGTATATATTTTAAACTGTGATAAAATATTATGTCAATCACACCATCAAAGACGTGTCAAATTGGGTTCTTTCAAAAGAGCAAAAAAGAAGCAAAATGCCTTAACAGGCTGGTGAAAAACCCGATCGGGCTTATGACATAAAAATCATATTTCTAGAAAAATAATAAAGATATTTCTTTTCAACTTTGTTTATTGAACATAATATATAGAAAAATATTTGGTTACTGTCACTTTTATGCGAATTATTTCCCCTTGTTCATGTTTATATAACACATAATTGTTGAAGTCCTATAAAAATATGCTATATATACAAAGTACATTTGTATAAAACAAAATAGGTTGAATAACTTTTATGCTCCAATTTATTGCGCCGACACCTGTCAGCATATATTTCATTCAGTTTTCAAAGAAAACTTCAAAATATAATGTTCACTGATCAGTGACAAAGAACTGTTAAAATATTTATCCCAGAAAAAAAACAGAATATTAAATCCAAATACATAATTTCTGTTAAAAATTTTGCATTACAATATATATTTTATAGGACTTTAAAAAATATGTGTTATATAAGCATGGAAAAGGGGAGATCACTCTCACAAAACTGACAGGAACTAAATTATTTTAGTCATTTAGACTGAGTATAGATTTTAAAGGTTTTTAAAGATTTTTTAGTGTCGCATTCTACCATAAAGTATCCTAGATGGTTTTTAATTCATTCGGAATAAAATAAAAATAATGTAAAAAATATAAACGTCCATACAACTAAAATTATATCTGTTGCGCAGGAAAAAAAAACAGAAGCAAAAGACAAAGGTTCAAGTAAATGACTATTGACTAGTTTTTAAAACTTAAAACAAAGTTTTTAATCGTTCATGTCTCAAAAAGGCATTATGTATAAAGTCAAATTTCATAGTATGTCTAATACCAAACTAAACAAAATGTATGTACTTTATTAGTTTTTGTTTGTTTGTTTGATTTTTATGTCGCAACAACACTGTCAAAGTCATTATAACGATTATCCAGCTATAGTGGAGGAGAAAGATATCATTTGCTCCACCGTTAATAAATTCAGACACAAACCTGTATAGAACCACCGACGTTCTATAAGCGTGCTGGAAAGTATGTTCACAAGAATTCAACGTCGCTGGTTTGCTTCGAATCCACCTCGGGTTTGAAGTTTTCGACCATAACCACCAGGTAACGGATGCCGTATTTTGATATATATATATATATATAACGAGATACGAGAAAATGAAAAAAAAAAATACAATTTTCTTCTACGTTTTCTTCCTCTTGTCTTCTTCTTCTTTTCTTTCGTTTTTTCTTAATTTTCAAAATAGAAATTATCTCTCTTAAATATCAAATTGTAATTATAAAGTGTATCTGCCAGAGACTTCTAATAATGACTGCTGTTCGCGGATTTTAAAAAAAGATTTTCCTTGCCTATAAACAAACATAATCAACTCAAAGAATATCCTATTACGATCATGAAAATCAAGGCGCTTCATGTTTATCACATTAAACTAATCACATTGAATTGAAGTAGGGACGGACAATATATTTAATTAAATGTTTTATGAGTATTAACTGAATTGCAAAAAAGGGAAATGTTGTCTTAAAATCTGTATTCTAGAATATCAACATATTTCAAAGAAAAAAAGATAAATAATTAATAAAAAAAATCAACTGTTGCACACAAAGTTAACTTACCTTCAAGTTTAACCCCATCTTTATCAAGGAGTTTGCTATTTATTTTATGAACCACAAAATTAAAAAGACGATTAACGTGTGACTCTTTAAATACAACTAATACAGTGGTAAAGAAGGGTTAAAATAAAATAACTCCTCGAAACTTCGGAGGTTGATGGGATTTGTAGAAGAGGTCGTTGTTTATAAGTTTTTTTTCGGAGTGGTTAAATCAATAACAAAATAAACAAACAAAACTTCATTTTCCAGTTTTACAGTTGATACATGTTCATGTATAATGAAAATACTGTATAAGGTTATCTAAACATTTTGGGCAAAACAGTAAGTTGTCATGATTTTTTTCATTGCAATTAATTTCATTATATTTTCGCACGGAAGATGATTAAGATAATTACGTTAATTTAAGCATTATCAATCTGAGTTGTCATTCAAATCTATTTAATATCTTAATGTTTAATAATGATTCGATAACGTGCACACATCTCATAACATTCTTATTCTATCTTTTACCTTTTAACTCACTTTAAACCCTGTCATTTTAATATTGTAAGTGTTTACCTTATATATTTTAATTGGGTTAAAAAAGGGTAATTATTATGATCAGGATGACTTTGAAATTTTGACAGAATATACATAACGAAAAAGAGTAAAACATGAATGAAAAAAAGATACAATTATATATTATAAGCAACACAATGGAAAGAAAAATATATTTTACTGTTAAGCTTTACGATAATATGCTAATCTACGATTTGTCTCTGATTTATTGTTTTCCCTCCACTGTAAAAAACAACAACACAATTTCACTTTATTAAGGAGGTATTTAGTGTATTCCAAGGCTTAAGCTTAATTATTTCCCTGCTATAAATCTACTGTTTTAGATACGACCTTTATTAATTAATGACACTCGTAACACTGAGTTATAGTGTATTAACATCTTTCTCAGAGATTTATTACTACGTTCTACTAGCCGCACGATTACGTGGTTTAGCTTTGCCGATTCTAATTTGTAACACCAGCAACAAGCTTTTTTGAGCCGCGTCACGACCAAACCAACATAATGGAATTGCAACCAGCATGGATCCAGACAAGCCTGCACATCCGCGCAGTCTGATCAGGATCCATGCTGTTCGCTTACAAACCTTATAACAAGTAGAGAAACTGATAGTGAACAGCATGTATCCTGAACAGACTGCGCGGAAGCGCAGGCTGGTCTGGATCCATGCTGGTCGCAAACCCATTATGTTGATTTTATTGTGACGCGGCTCATATGTTGACAAGAAGAGAAATATTTTGATATGAAGCGATATATAGGGATAGTTTTATTTCGAAATTAACAGCGAATGTCTCATTTAATTTCACGAGAGCCTTATTTGTATACAATCTTACTTTAACTTGTTTGTCAATAACAGGCAAGAACGAGATTTAATCTTTAAATTAGTTAAATGTAATGTTCCTGCTTCCGAAATTGGCACATGAATGAGAGAGATTGTTTCAGTAGTTGTGTGTTCATGCTGTCTTATATTATAAGTAAATTTAAGTCATTTTTTTACAAGAAAACCAATATTGTTTGTCTACGGGTTTGTGTTTATATGAAACAATAGAGTTTTATTTTGTTATAGACAATTAACAGTTAACGTCTTATTTAATTTCACGAAAGCCTTATTTGTTAACAATCTTACTTTAACTTGTTCGTCAACAAGAGGTAAGAACGAGCTTTCATCTTTATTATATAAATCAGTTAATGTAGTGTTTCTGTTTCCAAAATTGGCACATGATTGATTTCAGAGAGTTAGTTTTGGCAGTCGTATGTTAATGCTGTCTTATTTCATAAGTAAAATTCAGTCGTTACACACCTCCTCTATTGTTTGTGACAGGTCTATATTATTCGGACAGACCCGTTGAAACAAAGGAAAATCCGTTATGAGGTATATCTGTCACACGTGCACAGGTTTGGTCTTGTCAGATAGACCCGGTCATGTAAAACACGGGGACAGATATACCTGCTTATGCACAGACAAAGAAATCATTTAAGTAATCAGAAATAAAAAAAAATGAAAAATATAAATGATTATCATTATATTCCGGTCGTAATGGAGATTATTTTTTTATAACTTAATATTGAATGAGTGAGCATTCACTATTTCAAAAACCATGTATCACATCTTGAAATGAAAATAATAGACAGCATTTCAAAGTTAAGATTTATTTAATCGCATTATATTTCAAAGTTATAACAATCTAAGCGGTTTTTGAGCATTTATTAAGTTCACAATATGACAACTAATGAACGTTGTAAGTCCATTTTTATATCAAACTATAATGTTAGTCACGTTATCATCACATACTTATTACGACATTTAAAAACCACAAAATGCATAAGTGTGTAAGTTGGAAATCGGCCTCATACATCGATAGTTCGGTTAGGGAAATACCTGGTCACGAAATTCATGAAACACCTCGAGCGCGTAGCACTGGAGGTGTCATATGGAATTGGTGACCAGGTCTTTCCTAAACAGAAAGACCTCATACTCGGTTGATATCCGATACTTTTCTTACAGGTAAACAATATTG